GAGAGAGAGAGAGAGAGAGAGAGAGAGAGAGGAAAAGCAAGCAAGCAAGCGAGCAACTAATCATTGCATACAATCAATCAGGTGCGGTCATCGAAGGTCCTGGAGGTGAGCAGACACTGTGAGTCGCTTGACGATGCGTTTAATGATTTCCCGTCTGCGTCTAGAGTGCTCATGGGCTCCCGTGAACGTCGATCGCTCTATGACTTTCTCTTTATTTGTTGCTTCTCATTTCTGTATTTGATCTTAAATTTGGTTGGGACACAGATGTAATGTCCACCGTCTTTCCTCCTCTACGACATTACCAATCGCGGCCGATGACAGGTCTCCATCGTCTTCCCCCGAATGGAACGTCGTTCGCGCGCCTTATCATTTCTTCTCTATCTGATGTTGAACTTTGTCCGGATGTTAGTCCGGATGCATAGATGGATGTAATGCCCCTGCACTCTGTTATGGGCAAGGCGGTGCGCAATCCACGGTCAGGCTTGTACCTGACAGGCAATCGTCAATCTTTCGGCGCGCAGTGGCATTGAAGTGTGTTAACTGTTCCTATCCCGAACTTGGCGTGTCAGTGGCATTGAAGTGTGTTTAACTGTTGCTATCCCGAACTTGGCGCGCAGTCTTTTATTGAACTGGAGTTTTCGCTTTTCCCATGCCACACTGCACTGTAGAATCGAATTTGGCGCGCAGTGGTATGGAACTGATGATGCTCGAGCGGAGGACACGTGGGGTGTCGTGGTGGTGGTCCCCCCAGTCCTTCAGTCTCCTCTCCCCAGTCTTACAGGTGGCAAAACGTTGTAAGTCCGTGAATCGGATGAGTGAAGCGTACACGTGGTCCTTTAGGTTATGTAAAAACTCACAAGGTTTAACAATTAGGGCAGACTGACATTACGACTCTGTCCCAACCGAATCATGTCCTTTTTCCGGTCAGATGCATCCGCATGCCCTTATTTAAATACCCTGGAATCAGGTCCGTTCTCGCTGAATTCAGTCGGTAGGAATCGAGGTGGATTGGACCTAAGTAGTCATTAATGAATGAAGAGGAAGAGGAATAAGTGTCTATACTCTTTAAGTGTCTCCTCTGAGTCTCTACGTGCCGCTAAGGTGCTCTGCAAGCGAGTCTTTCGGTTTGTCTGCTGTGTCCTCTGAGTGCTCTTGAGTGTTGTTCTCTTAAGTGTTCTCTTTGAGTGTCCTCTTTTGAGTGCTGTGAGTGCCCGTAACAAGATGCACTTAAGTGCTTGAGTGATCTTAAGTGTGTCCTCTTTAAGTTGCTCGTTTACATAACTGAGCGACCGCCGCCGCATAGATTTCTTAAGTGCTTGAGTGATCTTACGTGTGTCCTCTTTTAAGTGCTCTGAGTACTCTGAGTGCTCTGAGTACTCTGAGTACTCTGAAGTACTCTGAGTACTCTGAAGTGCTCTGAGTACTCTGAGTGCTCTGAAGTGCTCTGAGTGCTCTGAGTGCTCTTAAGTGCTCTGAGTGCTCTCAAGTGCTCTGAGTGTTCTGAGTGCTCTAATTTCCACTAACTGCACGGAGCGTCCTCTTGTCTCTCAGGTGTCTTGAAGTCTGCAGATGCTCTTAAGTGTTCTTAAGTGACTCATCCCTCCCCTGACCCATCCCAGTTCTCTCGTACTACGTTAGGGATGACTTCTCTCTCCGTTTTCTTCAAGCATCACTACTTCGCCGCTGTTCGGAAAACGCGAAAACATATCCCATTTCTAAAAAATCTGGGGCGGAAAAAAAAAAATAAAAAAAAATCTGGGGCTGCGCCCGACGACGGGCTGCCGATTAATCTATCCGGCGGCGGTCGTTTCGTTTCGGCCAATCCTAACAGATGGGAGGCCCACCTGAGGTTGACTTTTGCAAAGGTAGTGGTGCTTTCAAATCACTCGTGCTACCTTCTTCCCCCGAATACAACGTACGGTCATTATAGCTGTATTTGAGGCACTTTCAGTCTAGATATACAGATATAATGACCGTACGGTGTATTCGCGGGGGGGGGTCATTATAGCTGTATTTGAGGCACCTTTCAGTCTAGATATACAGATATAATGACCGTACGGTGTAGTCGTGGGCGGGGTCATTATAGCTGTATTTGAGGCACCTTTCAGTCTAGATATACACATATAATGACCGTACGCGGTGTATTCGGGGGGGTCATTATAGCTGTATTTGAGGCACCTTTCAGTCAAGATATACAGATATAATGACCGTACGCGGTGTATTCGGGGGAAGAAGCCTAGGTATGGCTTCTCACATTTCTCTTCAAATCACTCGGGACTCCCGTCGTCACCCGAATAGAACCGCCCGGTCGTTATCGCTGCATCTGGACAGAAAATTGGCCCAGATACGCGGCTGTAATGGCCGGGCGTTTTATTCCGGTGAACACGGTAGGGATGACTTCAAAAAAAGTTCTCTTAAAAATCACCAACGGTAGATATGAAGCGAGCTGTCTCACGGCATTTTAATTGGTATATGGTGGCAGCTAGCCCGCTCGAGCCTGTTGTTGCTCAGTACACATAGGCTATCCTTTATTGATTATTCGAGATTGAATAAAATTAATTATTGTAGAATTTTAATTAATTCTAGTAACCCAAAAATAAGATTGTATTCTATATGGATTTTATTTATTTATTTAGTTTTTTTTTGTGAAGTTTCCTGTGCTCAAATATCCTCTGCGTTCTCCAAGTGTTCTGTAAGTGCTTTCTAGGTTTTTTTTTTTTAAGTTTTCTGTGCTCAAGTGTCCTCTGCGCGCTCGAAGTGTTCTGTAAGTGCTTTCTAGGTGTCCTGCAATTGTCCTCTTTAAGTGCTGTGTCATTTAACATGTAATAACGCATTCTCATCGTGAAGGTATACAAGCTCGATTTCCGGTCCGATACAGTCAAGATGAGGGGTTATCTTCGGCGGAAGACGGACAGTAGTGTCCTGTAGGTGGTCTTCTCTATGTGGTTCTAGTATTCTCCTACAGTCTTCCCCCGAACATAACGCACCCTGATAACGAAGGTATACAAGCTACGTTTCTGGCCCGGTACAGCCATACTGAGGGTGCGTTGTGTTCGGGGGAAGACAGTAGTGTCCTCTGTCTCCTATTGTCGAAAAATTTTGGAAACCGTAACTGCTCTGCTCTTAAAGATGTGTCTGTAAGTGTCACTCTATAGTATGTCTTCTGAGGTGGTTGAATATGTTAACTAACAGCGCTAAGGAAAGAATTGATTGATTGATTGATTATTTCTTGTGGAGGAATGCAGGAGGCTGGGCCTCAAAAGAGTTCGTTTAAATGAGTTGGTGATAATGTAAATCCAGGAGAAGACATTGAGATTGGTATTGTGGATTTGAGATGGGAAGGGAGCGAAGGGGGAATGGAGGTGAACGAGGTGCTATCTGTTTTGGAATGGGGGACGGTAATGAGGGTACGACCATGTCGTGAAGGGGTTTGGGGAGTAGATGTTTCTCGTCAGGGGAGAAGGCAGGAGTAGGTGGGAGGGTGTACTCCGTCCCGACCCCCACCTTTACATTCCCTGTTAGGTTAGGGAGAATTTGTAAGAGAGGGGTGGGGGGGGGGGGGGGGGGAGTGGGGTCTGTGTGCGTCCGAGTATGCGTCGTGCATGTGTGTGTGAGAGGTGCGGTACGCATACCTACAAGATCGTGATGGAGATGGGTAGGTCGATCTTGTTTGAGAGGTATATTGTGTATGCATATGTATATCTTATGCCACACAGAGAGAGAGAGAGAGAGAGAGAGAGAGAGAGAGAGAGAGAGAGAGAGAGAGAGAGAGAGAGAGAGAGAGAGNNNNGTCACCACTGGAAAGCTAGGTCTGATCTGGCGGGGTGGGTATAAGAGACAGGAGAGAGAGAGAGAGAGAGAGAGAGAGAGAGAGAGAGAGAGAGAGAGTGCAGAGGGCGCTCTTTGGGAGACGAGAGAGAGGGAGAGAGAGAGAATGCATAGGGCGCTCTTTGGGAGACGGGAGAGAGAGAGAGAGAGAGAGAGAGAGAGGGGGGGGGGGGGATAGGGGGTGCTTTGGGAGAGGGGAGTGGGAGAGAAAATGTCGGTCAAATCGTGTAGCAGTCATGTATATCGTCAGACAGAACTGTCCGGTAAACCGTAGGGGCAGAGAGGGAGGGGGAAGAGGACAACAAACGAGGGGCTGTGACAAACTGTTTCATCGGGAGCTTCAACGACTCATCAAGAGATATATGTAGATGCACATATGCGTACGCGCGTATATATATGTATATATGTGTATATGTATATGCTCGTGTATAAGAGGTGATGAACAGGCGGAGCTTTTTCTTCCTTCTTTCCCTTTTTTGTTTAGTCTTTTTCCGCCTTTGCGCTCCGATTCACAGTGT